TTCATAGCGTCCTGCCCATCCTCATGCCTGGCTCTTCTTCGCATAGTCCAGTTCTCAGTGTCTTTGCTCAGCATACAAATTGAATAAGTATGGTGAGGCAATACAACCCTGATGCACATTTTTTCTGATTTTAAACTATGCACTATGATTTTGTTCTGTCTGAAAGTCTGCCTCTTGATTCATGTCCAGGTTCCATATGAGCACAATGAATCATTCTGGAACCCCCATTCTTCTCAATGGAACCATAGTTTGTTATGGTTCATGCAGTTGAATGCCTTTGCATAGTCAGTACAACACAAATATTCTCTGATTTAAACCAGGATATATATTTTATGATTTATTTATAATAGGTAGTCTAAATAGGAAAATTCACAGAGACAAAGTGTGTTAGCGGATGCCAGAGATTAGAGAGTTGGCAATAGAGAATAATAGGTAACTGGTATCGATTTTTTTTGGGATAATGGAAATATTTTGGAAATAAATAGTAGCAAAGTTTGTACAACATTATTAATATGTTAAGCAAGACAGTAAATTATACACATCAAAAAACATCAAGTTTATCTTATGGATTATAGCTCACTGATTTTAATGTATCAAATCTTCCCTGTTGCCTATTTTGGAACAGCCCATAAGTTAAGAAGGGAGAACGATGGGGCTTTCTGCGGCCAAACAAGCCTCAGAACCCACGGGACCAGTCCACCCTGTCCAATAGGCTCCCTTGGAGCAGACATGAATCCAGTGGCAGTGAGTGTGGTTATTTGGTTTAGTGAGCTAAAAATGGTTTTTACCATTTTTAATGGTTGACAAACAAAATTTTAAAGTAATATGCAGAGCATATATAATATAAAACCAATAAAGTTTTACTCAAACACAGCCATGTTTTTTCTTTAACTCTTGTGTGTGACTTCCACCCTTTAACAGCAGAATCATGACGACTACAATATGGCCTCCAAATCTAAGATATTCTCTTCAGTAGAAAAAGCCTGCTGAATTATAGTATGCCATTCTTAAATTTTATTTTGGAACTAAACAGTATATCACAGTAACTTTCAGAATTCCTACAAATTCCCTTAATATATTTAAATGGCTGTAGGATAAAAATGTTCATAACATTACTTAGCCATTTCCATACTTAAAAAAATTTCATGTCTTCAGCTAAATTGCTTTGAAAATAAATTAATGTATTTATCTTGTAAGTATGTGAAAATGACCAACATGCTGATGGGCTAGGTACCGAGATTTCGACAGTTTTAACATGTCTCATTTGAATGAAGGTTTACCTCTTGTCTGCTCAGTAGCTATGAAAAATTGATGCCTTCTAAACTGAGACACTGTTCTGAGTGGCATGATTGTTTAGCAGGATCTAGGTCTTTGTCCTTTCACTCCTCTTGCCCCTTCTAACTTGGGCTTAGAATACAAGAACTTCATCCTTTTAAAAGCCGTTGGAAGAGTCCAGAGTACTTAGGACTCTTCTCATTGTTTCCCCATCTCAGGAGATGCTACAGCGAGCCACCGGAGCCTTTCCTCTTCAGTTGTGAGACATCTATCCTCCCAGCTTTGGGCAACTCACATCACATAGGTGTTTTTCTTTGGGGGTAATGGCCTTCAGATGAAGAAAGCTACCTTGCCCAATGACGTGCCCTTTTCCCAGAGGTAGCAACACCTAAATAATGTGTTGATATAGAAACCGGAAAGCTCAACTTCTTTAAGACAAGTCACGAAGATCATTGTGAAATGCCATTCCAGTTCCAGGACTCTCTATAGAATCTGCAAAAGCTTCTGTTTCAACTTTCCACTCCTCCTTCTACCCAATCTTCCTCTTACCCAAAGATGATGTTCCAAGTATGCTTTGCAGGAAACCCTCTTCAAGCAGATTTGAGTCTCGGAGTCAGTTTCCTAGGGGATTCACCTACCGCACCCCTCTCTCCTTCCTTTACAAGAGAGGGGTGTGCTATTTGATGTGAATCCAGAGTTCAGAAGCACATAGGCCTCAGTCCCCTCTCCTTTCTTCTATAAATTAAGCGTGATGGAAAGGGGTGTGCTCTCCTCTGGGTCCTGTCCCTGATTGTGTACACACAGCAGGGCTATGCCTCAGATTATTACTTCCAGAGGCAAATTGCAGTAGCCATTGTTATTCCACAGTATTTGGAGGGTCTAATCTCTGGAACAAGAAAGATGTGAATCTTTATATGAGAAACTTCTTTGAAACTCAGTTTTGCCTTTGGATTGGATCTCCTAGAATATGAATTCTATCCAAAGCCCTCAAAAAATTCATTACTGTCGTGTCGAAGCCAACAAATAGCGACCATATCAGGCAGGGTAGAACTTCCCTGGGAGTTTCTGAGACTAACTGTTCACAGGATTTGAAAGCTTCATCTTTCTCCCAAGGAGCAGCTGGTGATTTTGAACCACTGACTTTTCAGATTGCAGCCCAGTGAGTAACCACTGGGCCAAGTGAGCCCCACACAAAGCTCCACAAATTCCAATTAGGGACTAAAATTATTTTATGATCTCCAATTCTGCCCGATATGTGATTATACTAATGGTCTCCTCTTTATTTACTTTATTGCTTTGCCTTACTTTTCTCAATTACATTCAAACTCATAGGATGGACTGAATAGTAAAAATGGTCCTAAACTCTTACTGATATGAAGTAGCAGCATATGCATCCAAAGCAGAAATACACATTCCCGTTTTTGACTTACACAGGAGATGCTCTTCCAGCAGGTTCCCAGAGAAGGGCAGTTCAAATCTCGGCTTTGGCATTTAGCAGTGTGATTTGGACAAGTAGATTTCAAATGAGAGATTAAGACTTAGTAGACATATTTGTAAATTAATCTAAAAATACCCATATCAGATTTGGTTTAAATATTTAAAGTGATCATAAACCATCTCATCCAATGCCTTATAATTGGCACCAGGCAGCATTAAGCACTCAATGCCCGGTCCTGTACATCCCATGATCAATTACGGGTAGTGAGCTCGCATTGGCTTATGTTTTCTTAAGTAAGTATGCCTTAAGGCTTTTCTTCTTATTCCTATTCTCAGAATCCTGTTGAAACTTGTTTTGTCTCATAGTAACACATAGGCCTCCATGGAAATTGAAACTGCACAAGAGGTTCATTGACCAGAAAGTAAAGTCATGTCTTCTCCTCCCATGGGAAACTGAAAGCTCTGCCATGGAACTACTGCTGCCTCTTAAAACCTCTTATATTGTTTAAGGAATATTAATTCACAGCTTAAAACTATCAAGAACGATTGCATGATACACGCCAATGGACCTTCTTTAGAGTTCTAGGGAATAAAAAAGCAAAATAAGATTAAAACAAAAATAAAAAAAACAATAGAAAGATGTCCTTGTTGACCACTTCCAAAAGGAGTGGGATGAATTTTCAATACCATGGACTATTTCAAGCTGAATTTCTCAACAATGAATCCAGGAGGTAGGGTAACATATACATTAGGGATACAACCTAGATAAACTTTGACAGAGAATTGGAGAACAACTACAAACCCCCTCTTATGCGATAAAATGCAGAGGGGAGCACATCCCACCAGCTCAGAGACCTGGCACCCTGTGCAGCAAGTGCCACGGAGGGGAGATCAGGAGCACTTCTGAAATCATTCTGCTCGTGGAAACGAAGAATTGGGACTCCACCTAAGATCTGGCACATAGTCTCAGATGATTTTGCCTCGCCTTGCTTCTGCTACTATTTGTCAAATGACAAATATGAAGGATAGTCTCATGTCTGCCCTACAAAAGGAATCACCCAGATTCTCCATGTTTCATTTGTAGAAGCAGCTTGGACCCAGAGACTCCCGGGCAAGTTGAATTTGGTGAAGTAAGGCAATGAAAAACACAGTATACCCAACAGTGCGTGGTTAGCCAATGGAACACTACCCCACTCCTGCAAATCAAATACAATTGGATGTTGAAGCATTTACAGCTCTAGCAAATACTCTACTATGAACTAGCATTCAGGTTAGAGATTCTCAACACCACAGAGAAGCTACAGGAAATTACATTTTCTTTACATTTTTAGAGGGCAAGTTCTAGAATAACACACAGAATCTGGGATTGGAGGTGAGCGACTCTAGAAGGTAGACTGTTGGGGGCGTAAGTAATCCCATGAACAAGCTCAGTTAGGAAACAAACAGACAAACATTTAACACCATGGTTTTCTGAAGTAGTGAATTCCAAGGAGGTAAAGGCTCTATGTATATTTCCTGAATATAAACGTTATAGCAGTTTGTGTAGATAATGCTATTTGAATCAGAGAAAGGGAAAGACAGAGAAGTTGAGAGAGAGAAACTTTAAAAGAAAAAATAGAGAGGGAACAAGAAGAATTGGACAAGGTCATTCTTTCAAATTATGCTTTAATTTATTTTTCTAAATTCTTATTCAAAAGAATGGACAACGGACTATAGTGTAGAAAGTTCATTTTGTAGAAATCAATAAGACATCATAAAAATAAGCGAAAGAAAAATAGTTGAAGCGATTATTTCTGAATTCTATTACACAGGATAGTATTGAACACAGAGAGAGGGAGAAATGTAAAAGGTATGGTCACCTCTTTGAGACGGTATCAAAGATGTCAATTCAAGGGAAATATTCTCCTAAGAGACGGGAGAAAAGTTCGGGGATGACTCTCAGGCTGTACTTCATAAGTTAGTCATACCAGTTTCTGCAGGAATGCAGAAGTTAGTGCAAAATGGTTAAAGCACATATTGACAAAGCACAATTTGACATATATTTTTAAAAATATATTTTGAGCCCCTAATAAATTGATTAAAAAAAATAATGATGGTAACATAGGTACAAATATACTTGATACAATTGATGTATGGATTATTATAAGAGCTTTAAGAGCCCCAATAAAATGATCTTTAAATTAAAAGAAATATATATATTTATTTGAAGTATTTAAAATGCCTCTCACTCATTAAAAAAAAAAATCCCCAACGTCTATTCCTTTACAGAGAAGAAGATCCCTGCTTACCTGTGTCAAACCCCACAGGCGGCACTATGTCCACTGTCCCATGCAAGGCGCCGGCCCACGCTGAGGTAGCAGTAGTGACTGTAGACGGATCTGTCTTCGTGATGTCGCACTGGGAAGCAGGAATCCTGGCTGCACGCACGGATGGCATTAACAGAGGCCCATAGGACGGGTCCAGGGTGGAGCCAGCCGAAGGGTGGTGGTGGTGGTGGTGATGGTGGTGGTGCCGGTGGTGCATGTGGGCATGGGGGTGGTGGTGTCGCATGTACACATCATGCATATGGCTATAGGATGGGCTCACCTGAGATGCCAAAGGATAGTGCCAGGACTCAGAAACAGGAGGGTGAGGGGTTGGGCTAGTCTGATGCAGGCCGTGTCCTGGCCAGGGGCTGGGATCTGCTGCAGAAAAGGTGCCAGGGGGTGCAGTGACCTGAAAGTCAGGATGAACTCCCCCCAAACAGGGTGCAGGTGGGGGCTGGTAAGAGCTGGTCCAAAAAGAAGCTGGAAAACTACTCCGCTGGCTTGAGAGAGCTGAGCTGTCTGTGAAGACAAGAAGAAAAAAAAATAGAGAGAGATATATAGAGATATATTTACATAAGATTCAATTCTAGGATAGACTTGCCTTTACATGTCCAAAATTATCTCAGAGCAGGCTAACTTGTATTTGCTTTTTGCTTTTTACCCACAGAGATGAATCGATATCAGCTAAGCCTCTGGACTCTACGACCTCAAATTGACATGAAGAATTTGAGGTGGTAACTGAGTGGTGCTCTCCATTTGCTTGGTCTTCAAGGTCAATGTGGAGCTCTGAAAGTCCTGGATGCATACGTTTTTCACTTCCTCCTTGGTATCTTACTGCCATCAAGGCTAAGATGAGGTCACCACTATGTACCTCCAACGCAGGAAGTACTTTAAACCATAGACGTGGTAATATAGGCTGAAAATGGTGATTTATACAGTAAGTATGTATCTATTGGATATAAATATTTCATTTGAATTGTGATGCTGGAGATGAAGGTGACAGTATCATGGACTGCTAAAAGAACTAAGCGATCTTTGTTGGAAGAAGTTAGGCCAGAGTGTGCCTTGGGGGCAAGGAAGGCAAGACTTGTATACTCTGGGCATATGGTCAGGAGAGGGCATCATGCTTGCCAAAGTGGAAGAACAGTGAAAAAGAGGAAAACCCTCAATGACATGCATTGACACAGAGGCTGCATCAATGGCCTCAGCATAGGCGCAATTGTGAGGATGGCGCAGGACCATGCAGTGTTCCCCTCTGTTGTGCACCGGGTTGCTATGGGTTGGAGCTGGTTCGATGGCACCTAAGAACAGCAACATATATGTACACATGTATATACACAAAACATTTTCTACCGACTTCTTTAAAATACTAATAGAATTCTCACTCAAACGGAACACTTTTATGAAGAAGATACCAAAGAGGTAATGACGACACTTAATTATACTCACCGACACAACACTAATTTTGCATCAAGAAGACTATACTCCAAATAGTGTTGTTTTTGTTTTTGCTTTTTAGAATTAATTGTCCAGAGAGTCTCCAGACGAAGAAGGGTACATTCAATATCATTCAATAAGCACTAATCCAATGTTCCACACTAGGTCAACAGTTTTCCATCAGTGATCTCAAAGAGTGCTCACTTTAACCTCTTAATTAGTTAATGATATCATCCTCATTTTATACATGAAGAAACTGAAGCGAGAGAGAAGCCCAAGGTCTTAAAGGTAGCAAGTGAGAGAGACCAGGTAGCTGTCTTCAACGGCTAGCACTCTTTGTACTTGTGCCACAAGAGGGCACACTTGTAACTGGAACCTGAACGTCTAGAATGTGATGATTTTGTGGGAATAAGAAGTGTAGGAGATTCAAGCAGTAGAACTAAATTAGAGCAAGTGAAGTGGGGGAGGGGTGTCAAGCACTTACAGATAAGGAATGGAGAGAAAGGGCTCTCCCAAACTCTACATCAACTCAATTTCTCCGCTCCATCATCATTACCCATTAATAAAATCCATACTCTTTGCCATTGAGTCCGTGCTGAGTCATGGTGACTCCCTGTGGGTTTCTGAGGCTGTAACTGTTCATGGGAGCAGAAGCCCAATCTTTCTCCCGTGGAGCTGCCGGAGGTTTGGGACCACTGTCCATGCAGATCACAGCCCGATGTGTTCCACCACCCCACCAGGGTTCCGTGGTAGAGTAGAAGGTCCGTGGGTGCCCAGACTGGCATGGTTTTGTACACCATCTGGTGCAGGCTGATAGGTACACAGGGGCTTATAATATGGCATGGTACATCTATTTACAAGGGGAAGAAAAGATATAGGCCAGCAAAGCAACATAACCCAGCCATTGGTGAGTAATAGCTGAGAGCATAAGAGATGGATGTCCCAGTGAAGGGACAGGGACATGTCCTTTAACATTGAAATCAGGGGGGTAAGGGAATAAATCCTAAAAGGCAAAAAACAAAAACAAAATAAAACAAAACATGCAGCATTTGTGGAACATAAAATCAGTGGGCAGAAAGTCACACACAATAAGACTGCAGTAGCTAACAGGACCCAGGTGAATGGGACCTTGCTAGTAATGAATAAGGGATGTATCCCGAGTGAATCCCATGAGCATTTGAGGGTTTTAATCTAGTGAAGGGCATAGTCTGATCTGTGTTTAGAATAACCAGTAGCTTTAGGGATAGTCTACTGTCCGCAATGGGGTAGACTTGAATGAGCACGGGGTTGGGAGTCTACAGAACTTGGCTCTCTGGCTAACTCTTGCCCTTCTTCATTGTGTGATCTGGAATGGATCTTCAACTAATGAATCAGCCAGTTGAACTAACTCCAGCGATCTTCCAGCACCATCCATCATTCTGTGAAATGATGCATGGGTTATTTCAATTTATAAGTAGCAGATAAAGTGACTCAAGAATTCATCGTGAATGTACCATGAGATAATATTTTCATAGTGGGTCATACATACAAAAGTCTTGCCAGATCCTTCAATTGAATGAAAAATATTCTACGAAGTACTCTGAACTACAAGTATTTTTTAAAGTCTGACATACCCCATGTTCTCACTTTGTAAACTTCTAGGACATAGTTTTTCTGCCTCGGGGAAAGCTTATATAACTCAAGCCAACCACCCTATATAATTTGACCAGCATAATTAAACTACAACTGTAGTGTTTAAACATATCGTTTCCCTAGCATGCCTAGCAGCTGTGGCACTAGTAAACGCTCACATATTTCCCAAGTCAGTCCTATACCAGAGGCATCATCATTCACCCCATTCATTCTGCGGACAAACAGCTATTCAAGTCTCTCTCTCCCACTATCACCATGGATTTACAACCCCCTGGGGAAACCTAGGAAATGATGTTCTTCAAGAGGCACAGGGCGGGCATGCTCATTGTTCTTTGAGTCTTCAAACAATCTCTGCAAACTTCTAATTGAATGATGGTTTTGTTGCAATCACAATCTATCAAAAAATGACATTTAAAACTTATTGGCATTATTTTTCTAGCAATTGTCTTTTTTTAAACACATGAGAATGGCTTGCTAAGAACAAGAAGGGCAATTCTCTAAACTATGAGAAAAAAAAGCAATTGAACTTAAATAATGGCCATTAGCGGAATATTTCTCTCACTCTCATATCAAAAGTTGTCTGTTTAAAGTGTAAACCCCCTACAAGAGTTTATTGAGGGTCCTTATATTACAAATTAGGCTTTGTCATCACCAAACTGTCATGTTGTTTTCACTGCCCCTACTTAAGACCAAGCCTTTCAGTCTGCTCATAACTGACCCTGCGCGGGACTGGGATCAAATTATGCAAAATGCTGAACGCCATCCAACCTACAAGTATCTTCCAGAGAGGAAGCCTTCTTGACTGAGTGCCTCCAGTAAAATGTTAGATATATATGTAATTTCTCCTTTTGCTCCTTTATTTGTACATGGCACTATTCTTTCTATAAATGTTAAAATGTTTTAATAGGCCTGCAGAAAGGTGAATTCTTTACCAAGATATGTTGTACTATTTATGAACTATTGCATTGTGTTACTGAATAGGCTATCATTGAAAGTGGAAATCCATTTTTAAAAATGCACTCCATAAAAATGGGACAAAACTTTAAAATACAACAGGGAAAAATAAAATTTGAAGCAACTTCATATTCTCCCAGTCAGTATCTCCCAGGATTAATATTAAATTTGCATACAATTCTATGTAGCCTTCTACCAAAAAAACCTGTAGCAATTTAAAAGCAAATGAAACAATATGGAATAGAAAATATATTTATGAATAAGTCTAAAGTTCAAAAAATCACCATTTGGTATCTTGCTTGTTAAAACAAAATTTTGATATAAAAAAACAGACAATATGCTTTGTTTTATGCCTAGGAATCACTGTGCTTATTTCATATGTATGTAAATTTTTCATTGCATGACTCTTTGCTTATGAGTACTTAATCACAGCCACATTTCTGGGATGAAAAAGCATATAAAATAGTGCATGAAATAGTTCCTTGCAGTACTATTGTCTGGTTTGTGGAGACCATTTAGAACTGCATAATCTTAATATATCATGATGACCCCAGGCTCATTGGTACTTGAAGTTTGGAGGATGTTAACAGTGACCATCTTAACACCTACAAAAACCTTAGGATAGTATGGTTTAGTGTATAATAGAAACTGATAAAATTGATACTTTGTCGAAAACTTCACACTGAAAACATACCTAGTAATGCCATTGTCTGACAATTGATATACACCAGAAGAATGTGTTTAAGAGGCATGGAGGAGTTCGACATAGAACAGCAAGTAGTTCATTCAGTCTCATCATAGCAGGAATACCTTAGGCATTAATGCTGCTTCTTTGAACAAATTTGGAGGCCAACAAATCAAGATAAGTCAAAATTTAATTTTAAAATAAAACTTTAAAAATTAATTTAAAATTACTGAGTATATTAAAATTAAAAATGCGAAATAATACTGTGCAGAACCTCTAAGTCAGTGTTTCCTACAATGTGCACCACCATTCTTGAGAAAGGGCTGGACTGATGCAGGGGGGATTCAAATGCAGATGAATATACTCTATTCTGGGTTATGGACTACAGAATTAAAGTTGTAAAACAGTTTTCAGCCATATTAAGTAGAGTTGTGTCATCATAAATCCACTTCAGAGCATTATCTTCTCCTCATTATTAGCTCCCCATTTCTCCCGAGCCCTTCTACCATGCCCCTAGGTAATTATTAATTCAGTCACTGTCTCCAAAGCTTCACCTAGCCCGGATACAGAAAATCACATAAAACATAAACAGCAAACAAATATAAAACCAAAAAAAAAATTACTAGATAAAACATAAAAACCTCAATGGAAAAGAGAGCAGAAAATGTTAAAACTTATAATTTCAAAACGGATCAAAAGGGAAATCCCATGATAATGTATTACATATTAACTTAAATACATCTGCCATAATCAACTTTACAGTGCTCTCTGTCTGAAACCAAGACTATTCATGTCTTTCAACTCTAGCTAG